AACACTGACCACCACAATGGACCACCAGCAAAGTTAACATCCAGAAGCTTAAGGTCAAAATTTAGCTTCCACAGTGGCGCAAAGGATAAAACTACACAACAGACTTTCACAAAATAAGATGAATAGAACTCCACCACACTTACCATTTCTCTCAATAAATGTCAATGAACTGAATTCACCACTGAAGAGGCACAGGCTGGCTGTTAGTATTAAAAATCATAAGCCATCCATATGCTGTCTCCAGGAGACACACCTAACCTTGAAGGACAAATTAAGACTCAGGGTAAAGGGATGGAAAACAGCATTTCAAGCAAATGGAAATCAGAAGAAAGGAGAGGTTGCTATCTTATTTTTAAATACAGGTGGATTTAAATTTAAGAAAGACAAAGGTGGACACCATACTGGTCAAAGGAACAATACAAGAAGACATTTCAATTTTAAATATTTATGCACCCAACTTAAATGTTCCCAGATTTATGAAATAGATCTTGATGAGTCTGAGCAAAATGATATCCCATAACACCATAATAGTTGGGGACTTTAATACCCCTCTGATAGAACTAGATAGATCCTCTAAACTGAAACTCAATAAAGATACAAAGGACTTAAATGTAACCCTAGAACAAAAGAGATTAATAGCCATATACAGGACACACCATCCCAAAAGCTAAAAAATATATATTTTTCTCCTCAGCTCATGGTACATATTCCAAAATTGACCACATCAGAATCCAGTGTACTCAATTCTAAATAAAATACCATTAAAATACCACCATCATGCTTTCAAGATTTGGAAAAAGTAATTCTTTGGTATGGAACCAGAAGAAACCTCCATATAGCCAATGCAATTCTTTTTAATAAAAACAATGCTGGGGGTATCACACTGCCAGACTTCTGGCTATACTACAAGGCTATAGTGATCAAAACAGCATAGTATTGGAACAAAAATAGAGACATTGACATTTGGAACTGAATAGAAAACCATGAGATGAAACTAACCTCTTACAGCCACCTGATAGTTGATAAACCAAACACGAACATACACTCAGTGCCTGTAGCTCAAGTGGCTGAGGCTCCAGCCACATACACCAGAGCTGGTGGGTTCGAATCTGCCTGGGCCTGCCAAAACAACAATGACCACTACAACCAAAAAATAGCTGGGCATTGTGGTGGGTGCCTGTACTCCCAGGTACTGGGGAGGCTGAGGCAAGAGAGAATTGCTTAAGCCCAGGAGTTGGAGGTTGCTGTGAGTTGTGATGCCACAGCACTCTACCCAGGGCAATAGCTTGAGACTGGATATCCACATATAAAAGACTGAAACTGGACTTGCACCTTTCTCCACTTACAAAAATCTATTCAAGATGGATAAAGGATTTATCTCTAAGGCATTAAGTAATAAAAATCCTCGAAGAAAGTGTGGGGAAAACATTTGAAGATACTGGTCTGGGGAAAGATTTTATGAAGAAGACTTCTGTGGCAATTTCAATAACAAAAATAAATAAATGAGACTTAATTAAACTGAAAAGCGTCTATAACAAGCAACTAAAGCAAACATAACCTTTAGAATGGGAAAAGATAACTTGCATATTATGAATCGGACAAAAATGTGATAACTAGGATTGACCCAACATTCCCATCTATCACTGGTCAAGAGACATGAATAGAGCCTTCTCTAAAGAAGACAAATGTCTAACAAACATATAAAGAAATGCTTATTGTCCTAATCATCAGAGAAATGTAAATTAGTACTACCCTGAGATATTACCTAACCCCAGTGAGAATAGCGCACATAACAGAATCTCAATGCTGCCAATGCTGGCATGGATGAGAAGAGAAGGGAACACTTTTATACTGCTGGTGGGACTGCAAACTAATACAACCCTTTTGGAAAGAAGTATGGAGAATCCTCAAAGAACTCAAATTAGACATCCATTTCATCCTGCAATCCCATTACTAGGCATCTACCCAGAGGGAAAAAATCATTTTATCATAAGGATGTTGGCACTAGGCTGTTTATCGCAGCTCAATTTACAATTGCCAAATTGTGGAAACCACCTAAATGCCCACCAACCCAGGAATGGATTAACCAGCTAAGCTATTTAGCCATTAAAGAAGATGGAGACTTTACATCTCTATTAACCTGGATGGAGGTGGAACACATTCTTCTTAGTAAAGCATCACAAGAATGGAGAAGCAAGAATCCAATGTACTCAGTTCTAATATGAAGGTAGTAGATGAGCTAATACAAGGGGTGGGGTAGGGAAGTGAGCAGTGGGGAGGTAGGAGAGGTTTGGGGGACTTGATATACAGCACACCTCTTGGGGGCGGGACACAAATATAAGAGGGACTTTATCTAATAAATGCAGTTAGTGTAACTTAATTCTTTGTCCCCTCAATGAATCCCAAACAATAGAAAAAAACAAACAATAAAGATAGATGGATGGCAAATAAGCATATGAAAATGATGCTTAACATTATTAGAGGAATACAAATTAGAGCCAGGATGCATCAGGTGTGGTGGCTAATGCCTGTAATCCTAGCATTTGGGGAGGCTGACACAGCAGAATCACTTGAATCCAGGAATTCACCACCAACCTGAGGAACATAGAGAGACCCTGTCTCTTCAAAAAAAAAAAAAAAAAAAAGAATTTTTTTTTTTAAAGTTAACCAGGCTTGTGGTGCACTCCTATAGTCCTGCTGCTCAGACCGAGGAAGGAGGATTGCTTGAGCCCAGGCTTCTGTGAGCTATGATGCGGCTGTAAGGACCTTGTCTCAAAAAAACAAAATAAAAATAAAAACAAATCCCAAAGGAATTGCCATTAAGTATGTTCTAGAATGCCTGTGTTAAAATAATGATAATACCAGGTGTTTTTGAGACTGTAGAATAACTGGAACTCTCTCATTTATTGCTGGTGGGATTACAACATGATACAACCCTCTAGAAAAGTTTGTTAGTTTCTACATCTATCATATGATCCAGTATTTGTTCTAGAGGAAAAAAGTTCACACAAAAACCTGTGCACAAATGTTTATAGTAGCATTGTTCATAACCCCCAAATCTGAAAAGAACCCAGATGTCCTTGAATGGGTGAATGGATAAACTAACTGTATATCTACTCAATGGCATACTATTCAGCAACAAAGGAATGGGGGTTTTGTTTTATATGCAAAAGAGTGGGTGAATCTCAATTGCAGTATGCTAAGTGAAAATCTCATATGGCTACCTTAATATGACATAGGAAAATCAGTGGTTATCAGAGTTTATGGGGAAGGGGAAAGTCTGACTTGAAATGGGTGTTGGAATTATTCTGTACCTAGTTTGAGGAGGTAATAAGATACTGCGCATGTGTTAAAATTCATAGAACTGAAGCCTAACAAGTGAATTCTACACATGTAAATTTAAGGAAATAATAAAATACTTCTTACCTTGTATGCATTTATCAAAGCTTATTCATACTTAACATTTGTGCATTTCACTGTGTCTAAATTTTGCCTCACCTGAAAATAGAGAATTGTAAACAACATGTTTAAGAGTATGGGAGAGAAACAGTTAGGTGTTCTGATTTGAAATTTTTTTACCTATATCTAAAGTGTGAAATATATCATTTTATTTATTATAGCAAGGGTCCATTTATTTTCCTGCTTAGCAGAATACCATGTCTGTTTTCTTGGCAATTTATTGTTAATTCACCGATTGTTACTTCTTAATAATGATGGATAGTTTCTGGCTGCAAGCTAGATAAGAGCTCTTTTGTAATCTGTTTTTCAACTGCATCACTTCACATTCCTCCTATCTCTTGTCTTTGCCTTTTGCTCACAGTTCTTTCTCTTTTCTCGTTTGTTGACAAGGGGAAAAAAAATTAAGTTAGGGAGAAATATGCTTTTGAGTGTTCTTTATGAATTTGTCACATTTAAGATTCAATCATTATTAAATAGCAAGTATGGTTCTATTAGGTGTGATAGACTTTATAAAACAAACTAGTAGGGGCCTTATCCTAAATGCAGACCATTTGCGATTCTATAGATTGAATGGATATATTTTAGCACTTTGCTCTGGGTGACAGTAAATGATGTCAGATTAAATTTAAATTGATCTTCTCTCAATGTTTGTCTTTGGTGCATGTGCAATTACTTCAGCACAGAGAACCTTTCAGAGGCTTCTGTCAATACAGCTACCTGACAGTCATTTGTATTTGTAAACTGTGCACTTGGCACCTGCTGGTCTCTCTGCTGCATTGGAGCTAGTGGGGAACCAAAATGGGTGTACAATGAAGTTATTGGTTGTTACAACTCAGTGGGAGTTATTGAAGGGAAGAAACAGCACTTCCAGAAGCTCAAGAGAGGATAAAAAGGAGAAGAGACTGGTAATATTAATACCAGCCAGCTATTCTTTGCTACCAAAAAATAATGATTTTAAAAAACCAATCAATCAACTCACAGAATTTAGAGTATGCGTTTTGATTTTTGTAAGATATGAAAAAGGTCCTATTTAAGACACAATGAACTTTTAAACTACCAGTATCTCAATTAGAAGGCAGACAATTCATGTGAGCAGAAATATAAATTTAAAAAAGCAATGGGGATAAAAAGCTTAATTTCTGAAGAAATGTAAATTAAAATGTAGGTAATTTTGGTTACTAAATTAGCAAAACAATTTAAGTTATAATCAAGGCAAAAATACTAGCAAGACTCAAAGAACAGGCTCGGTTCCTATAGCACAGTGGTTGTAGTGCCAGCCACATACACTGAGGGTGGTGAGTTCAAACCAGGCCAGCTTACCAGTGCAACAAAAAAATAGCCAGGCATTGTGGCAGGCGCCTATAGTCCCAGCTACTTGGGAGGCTGAGGCAAGAGAAGTGCTTCAGTCCAAGAGTTGGAGGTTGCTGTGAGCTGTGAAGCCACAGCACTCTACTGAGGGTGACATAGTGAGCCTCTTTCTCAAAAAAAAAAAAAAAGACTCAAAGAACCAGTAGACAGATAGCAAAACTGATGTTTTATAGGTAGAATTTGCCCATGCTTTGTCAGAAGTTCTTATTTGTTCATCCAGTAATCCTACCTTATTGGATACAACTCAAGGAAATAATTACAAAGAAAAAATCCTGATCCATGACATCTGGTCAGGGAGGTGTGGTCTGTTCTGCTACATGCATGTTTCTGTGCTGCACATTTGCTTACACATGACTGGTGATTAAGACAATAATATCCAGAAAGTGGAGTTGCATTGGTTTCATCCATCATTTTCCTCAGAATTTTATGATGCCATCAGAGTAAGCTTTTTCATGGTTAAAGAAAATGAAGACCCCCCAAAATAAAACAACTGAAAGTCCTATGGCAGTGCCTTCCTTTCTAAAAGCTGGTTGAATGGTCTTGGGAAATGCTTTGTTTGCCAGTACATTAGGCTATGCAGTGAAGCTGCACACGTGGTTGAAGAAGTTGTAAACACCTTACTCTGCCTTTAGGGAAAACCTTGAAAAGACTACACCCTGGTTCTGATTAATTTGATGAAACTGGTTTTTTTACTGACAAGGAATGCCCTCAAAGACTTGTATCTCAAAAGAAGGCTCACAAGCTCTCAGTTAAGGACATTTTTAACAGTGCTAAGACTTTTTTGTTATAGGTTGTTTGTGTCTTTTGGTTACAAAGCTGCAGTTTTAGGTGGTTAGCCCCTAACGCTTTTTCACTTGAGCCTTGTTATTTTTAGTGTGATTTTGGAGAACATAAGGCTTCTTAATTAGATAAATGTAATTAAGGAAACATATAAACACCCAGCAGTAAAGAATAAATAGCTGTGTACAGCATCTTAATGGACAACATTTTATTCAACAGGTAAGCATAAACAATTTTCTGTGAAACAAGTACAAGAATTAGAACATAGGGCATGCCTGTGGCTCAAAGGAGTAGGGTGTGGCCCCATATACTGGAGGTGGTGGGTTCAAACCTGACCCCAGCCAAAAACTACCAATAACTAAATAAATAAATAATTAAAAAAATAATTAGAACATAATTATGTTCTATCGACATAGACTAGCTAGACATAGACATAGACATACCGAGTATGTCGATACCATGATTACAACTGTGTGAAAATGTTTGATGTACACCTGGCCTGTACAACAGGTAGGATGGTGGGATTGTAGGTAAAACTTAAAAAATTATCTTTTTAATATTGTGAGGGTGATGAAAAGATATGTTCATTTTAATTGTTTAATATAAATTTCATTTGACTATGGTTTTAGAATTCCTGGGAAACTAAAGCAATTTGTTTTTGACTTACACTCTGGAAAACTGCACAGAGAATTCCATCATGGACCTGACCCAACTGACACAGCCCCAGGAGAGGTAGGCCTCTTGTTTGGTTCTCAGTGTGAACTCTTTTGCCCTTTTTCAGTGCTCCTCCAAGAGGATCTGAAGCTCTTGCATAGGTTTGAACTTCAGTTCCTGAATATTTTTGTAAATAAATTCTGAGTAGACTCTAGAAAATACATGAATTACATAGCTTTTAAACTTTTCAAGTTCTAGGCCTTCAAAAAAGTTGAAGGAATGTTACTACATAGATTCTTGGTCATATATACTAAGGTGGTCGGAGTATGACCTCTGGAATATGGCTATACAAGGGTTAAATAGGCTTCAAAAAGAAATAAAAAGTAGAAATTAGAAGCAGATTACATTCGTGAAGAAATCAGTGGAGTCCAATAATTGCCATGCCTTCCTAATCATAATAATGATTTTTTATTCTTTTTTTTTGAGACAGAGCCTCAAGCTGTCCCCCTGGGTAGAGTGCTGTGGCATCACAGCTCACAGCAACCTCCAACTCCTGGGCTCAAGCAAGTCTCCTGCCTCAGCCTCCCAAGTAGCTGAGACCACGGGCACCTGCCACAATGCCTGGCTATTTTTTGGTAACAGCCATTATTGTTGTTTGGCGGGCCCAGGCTGGATTTGAACCTGCCACCTTAGGTGTATGTGGCTGGCTCCTTAGCCATTTGAGCCACAGGCGCCGAGCCTGATTTGTTATTCTTGATCACTGTTTTAAGAGCCTTTATGGGCTTGGCACCCGTTGCTCAGTGGTTAGGGCGCTGGCCACATACACAGAGGTTGGCAGGTTTGAACCTGGCCCGGCCTGCTAAACAACAATGACAACTGCAACAAAAAATTTAGCCTGGCGTTGTGTTCCTATAGTCCCAGCTACTTGGGAGGCTGAGGTAAGAGAATCGCTTAACACAAGAGTTTGAGGTTGCTGTGGGCTGTGACACCACAGCACTCTACTGAGGGCGGCATAGTAAGACTCTGTCTCAAAAAAGAGCCTTCACTAATACAGGATCCATAATGCTCCATGCAGCTTTCTATTTGTGATTTATAGCTTAATGCAGCTTTCTTATTTGTGATTTAAGAATGCTTGACAATTAGCAAATTTTTATGTTCTTTTATATATATATATTATTTTTTACCCGAGAATTTTATTATTTCTATCTTGTAACTTCTGTTACAAGTAATTTTTATGTTCCTGCTTTACCTAGCCATAAATTTGCATGTGATGCATTATAATTTGTATCATGTGTGTTACCGTGATACTGAGGAAAGATGATCTCTATTTCATATGCTCAGAACTTAAATCCACTGTTTTGCCCAAAGAACTTCCATGTATAAAAGGAAAATAAAAACACTGAATTTTTCTTTATATGAGTCAGAGTTCCCTTCAGGAATCCAATGACAAGCTTTGTCCTTTAAACCTGAGGTCAGGTTTGTTTTTTTTTTGATAATTAAACAACTATAGAAGGAGGCAAACTTGTTCTTGGCAATAACCCAGAGGTGATTATTTTCCTCATAAGAAAATAATACTAAGGCCTTCTTAGTATTTTATCAGATTAGGAAAAGATGTAGTCTACCATTATTGTATTACCCTGATTTGTTTCCATTTCATTAGACAATGAACCTTTATTTATTCATTTTTGTAAACTAATACACAGTGGGCACCAAATAAATGTTTGTTTTATAGTCACATAATTTTTGCTAATTAGTCCAAACATATATTTCAACAAAAAATAAAAAATGTATGGGAGAAGAGGAACATGACAAAGTCAGTGAGTTTGTAGATACACTGCTTCCTATTATAATGGGAATGTCCCACTTAGATTTCCCATGTGTAACATATGCACCATGTACTATACTAATCAGACATGCTCTTGAGGAGCTCACAGTATGGAAATAAAAGATAGATTTTTCTTTAAAATTCTTGGATGTCACTTTTACCATTTCACTGTACATTTTTGTCTACTATTGGTATGCAGTAAAATACTACAGAAATTAATTTTTCACTATTGAAGTTTTTGTTTCCCTCCATATCAACTAAGTTTTAATAATTTCTGGCATCTAGGTAATTGATACATAAGAGTCATATCAATAGAGTTGGTGTCTTTAATTCTCTTACCAATTATTTTTAAGAGGGAAGGGTTTGGGGCAACTTAGGGTTGTGTTACCTCTACAGACTAGTCAAGGAATGTACCCAGGTGTGCACTCTGTTGGTTTCTTCTGCCACATCTCAGCAAATGTACATAGGCCATACTTAATGGCCCAGTGGCAGCCTTGCCCTGGAGAAGCTGAGTAATTGCATTGGAAATGAGGAAGCAAGGTTTCACATTTAACTCTTATCTTTGCACACAGTTGTATAAGCAAATAATAATAAGGCAACTATTATTCATCTAATATTCTCATTAAAATAACTATAAAATAATATTGGTATAAAAATGTTTTATTCTTTCTTTTGTAGCAAGCCCCAGATGTAGCAAGCAGTCCACCCGAGAGCTCCTTCCAGAAACTAGCACCCAGTGAATATAGGTATACTTTATTGAGGGATCGAGATGAGCTTTAAAAACTTGAAAACCAATTTGCAAGCCTTTCAACAGCAGCATCAACTTACGTGGTGGAAATAGTAAACCTATATTTTCATAATTCTATGTGTATTTTTATTTTGAATAAACTGAAAGAAGTTTTGGGTTTTTAATTTTTTTTCTCCCCGATTCAAAATGCATTGTCATTTAATATAGCCTCTTCAAAAAAATCTGCTAGGGTTATAAAAATAAAAATCAGAGGCCTGTCTCCAGTTAAAATCTGTCCTGTAAAGTTTTTATAAAACAAGTCAAAGGTAACAGTGCCAGAAACATATTATTAACTTGCACTCGGGTACGGAGCACTTAGGGATGTGTAGTATGTGCTTTTCTTTCTACTCTTATCATATGATCAATTCTGTTGATATTTTCAGTATCACATTTCTCAAAGCTAAGGGTATATATATTCTGGATACTTGGGAGGGGAATAAATTAAAATTTTACACTGTGTACTGTGTTTTACTGGTTGGTCGGATATTGCTTATGAAAATTCCATATTGGTACTTTTTTGATTCTTAATGTATGATTTAAACATACTCTGAAGCGGAGGAGAGTCATAAGACAGAACATTTGGCAGAAATTGTCCTTATAAATTAAGAAAAAGAAAAGTATTATTAAATTTCTGTGTTTGTTTTTAAAAGTGGCATATGGATGGCATTTGAAATTTTGAATAAATTATACCTAAATCTGAGAAAGGCAGATACCAGTAGAACAGGTTACCAATATCAAACTAGATGACTTTTAAAGCTCTACCTATCATGACACTACAATTTCCAAAGAGAAAAATGAGCAGAGAAATTGTATTTCAATAATTCTAATCTCCTTCTGTCTTGTATTGTTACGATGCGATAGATAAAAAACAAATAAGGAATATATGTATTTAATTTTTTTCCCCATTGTGAAATTGTTAAAGGACCTTACCCCCTCTAGATTCCCTGATTTCCCAGGCCTGCATCATACAGTAAGATAAATCCCTGTGCCAGGCCTCAGTACTGCCAGGGAATAAAACTAGAGGGAGAGGACCCTCAGTGTCATATCGGGAAGCCCAGTGCCAGAGGACAGACAGGTTCAAAATTGGCTTTTCCTCTGGGCCTGGGTTGGTGCTATAGGCCAAGGGTCATTTTATACTTGGGGTATAAATCAATCCCAGTTTGGGGAAAGATTATTTTTAAGCTTAAAAGGCTGACACGTGCCATTATATGTAGTATGTAATATATGTAACATCTTCTAATTCTTTTAAAAATAAAACGAATATTTATAATGGATATTTAATGATTGTTATTTTTAAAAAATCAGCCTATAATTCCTGGTTATGCATGACTCATCCATAGTTTCCATAGTTTTATTCAGAATAATATTAATAAGATATTAAGGGGCATATTTAGTATATTTTACCAGAGTAGGAAAGTAGGACAGAGCTTTCTAGATGTTGGGCCATAGTTCTGTTCTCTTCATTACTTTTAATCAGTAACTTGAATGAAGTTTGAGTTGTGGTCTTCAATTCAGATGATAGGCCAAATCTGTGAAGGTCAGAATGAAAATTCACAAATGTTCAACAAGCTAGCACACAAGACCAAAATCAGTATGTGCAATTAACTAGAATAAATTTGTAATCCTGTACTTGAGTTTGAAAAAAATAATAAAAGATAACATTCAGGTATTAAGTTGTAGAGGGCTAGCTTGAGAGCAGTTATGGAAAAAGCCTGAAGAAGCACATGTTCAGTATGACCTAAGATTATAATGGAGTGGCTGTTTAAAAAATGAGTGGATTTGAGGGTATACTGTTCAGTGTTCACACATGTTGGGACTTAGGCTTTACCCTGCCACTACTATTGTCTTCTCTAGGCTGTAAAGCCATTGAGGACACAGAAACTTAATTTTTTGTCTATTTCTCTAGTGTCTAGCACTTCAGACACTTAGTAGTTATCATCAAATGTTTATTGAATGAATGAATGAGAAACAAAGTGACCTTGGTAATGTCTGTACCCCTGAGAGGATCAGCACTCATCAGGGCTTGGTACTCTGTTTTATAGAAAATCATTAGCAAGCTCAAATGCATTCCTTGAAAAAACAGCTAGGATAGTAAGAGGTTTTAAAACATCAGTGTTAAGGCTGTTTTGCTTCGAGAAAAGTTGGGTCTGAGAGCAGTTTGAAAGGCTGGTATCTTGTGGATTACAGGGATCGAATTATGATTGGAGGAAGTCGTGGGGAAGCAGATTTCACTCTGACATTTGTTCAGTGCAAGTTTTGTGGTACTGTAGTAGGTGTTGAAAGATACAAAGATGAATAAAGCATGATTTCTGCCCTGGAGTTGCTTACAGTCTGGTCAGATAGATGGATATAATCCTAACAGGTATTATACCATAATGATAGGAGAAAAAAGAGCACTCAATTCCCAAGATTTCATTGAGGAGATTACTTTTATGCTGAGGTTTTTAAAGAGGAATAGATGTCCTTCAGGATGTAGAGATCTGGGAAGAGAGAATAATCTGAACAAAGGTATATGAAATAGCATAATGCATTAGAAAAAATAAGTTCTTATAGTGCGGCTAGTGCATTCGGGGGTGGGAAGAAATGAAAAAAGAAGCTGGAGAAAAAATGGGAGCTGGTCACACAGGGCCTTGTAGGCCAAGCTAAAAGGTTTGTACTCCATGTGGTAAGCAGTGGAGATCTGATAACAGACTATACACAGAGAAGTGTGTTTATATTTGAGAAAGAATACTGTGGAAGCAGGTCTCACATTTAGACTTCTTCCCCTCTCAGCCGTAAGTCAGAGGATGTAACAGGTAGAAGTCTCCTCAATTTATCCACTCTACTCTGGGCCTCAGACTCCTCAGCTGTGAAGAGAGGACTCAAAACCCATATAGAGGGAGGTCTCCCTGATTCCTAGCCAGCTACCTTTCCCAGCTTTTCAAAAATTGTTCCAGTTATGAGGGGAACCATGAAAGGACAAGAACTTTTAGACGACATTCTAAAATCAAATTTTTTAAGTTAAATGAACCTAGAGAGGAAGATAGAAAATGTCTATCTACAGCATCTCATAGCTCTCTGATGAAGTCAAGTTGTCAAAGGTCATGTGCAAAAGAGGGAGGAACAGACATGATAAAAGCTACAAAGAGGAGAGTGAAAACAGTGTTTGAAATGAGCTTAAATTTATAGAAAATGCTAAAGTTGCGAAGAAGGCTTTTTTAATTTTTTTTAAACCTTAGGGCAAAAGGAAGTGGATAAAATAATGTAATGGATTGAGTGACAATCAGGAAAAGCAGAATGAAAATAGCACAAAATTACAAAAATGAGGAAAAAATATTCCTGCCACATTAAATGATTTCAAGGCTGTTAGGCCCACACTTCTACATCCCAGAGAGCTGTTGGAAGTTGCAAATGCTTTTTGTTAACAACTATTGGGAATTTTTGAGAAACCATGGAGAATGTAAGGTGACAGAAGACTGGAAGTGGCCATTGTATTCCAGTTTGCAAAATAGTTATAGTTACTGGCTTTAGCTATTTTTTCTAAAATAAAACCTCATGAACCAAACAAATGTCAGTGGTCTGTATTTGGGGGAAAGATTTAAATAGGTGTAAAGAATAAAACAATTATCAATTTTTAAACCCAATATTTAAAGGCCCTGACGACAAGTTGTTTCAGGACTTTAATTTGTCTTATGCTGATTATAATTGTTTTATGTGTTTATTAAAATAGGTTGGATAGGACCTCTTCTTAGCAACTGTTTTTTAGCTGTGTTTGAATTTTTGTATGTATTTCCAAGTAATAAAAGTATATTTATAAAATATTTCTATAGTTGGTACGTTTTACTAATTCCTTCTTCCCGAAATAATATGTACATTTTACTAAGTCTAAATGACCAGAGTCACTAGCTTTCCCAGGTTTAAAGTCATTTCCAAGATCATTTGATTGTACTTTAGTTACAATAGGAAGCTGTGTGAATCCATGTGCCAATCATAACCAAACCCAACCGTTAGTTGAAAGATCAAAATTCCCTCTTGAAGAGCACACAGGGGAAAGGTGGCCGCCCTAAGACAAGAGATTTTGGAGTTACTGGAAGGAAAAAGATACAGCTTATAAACTGCTTCTCTAAAAACCCCTCTTCTGCCCACCTTGCCTGGTAAATTCCTCCTATTCATCCTTCAATGCCTAAGACAGTTGTCACCCTCTGTGGTCCCACAGCCCTTTATTTATGTAGTTGGAGTATGCCGTCTAATTCAGAGTTGGGAGGACTTGTACCTCGCTTCCTTATCACCATGCTAACGCCCTGCAAGCAGAGGGCACACTGATGGTAGAGTAAGAAAGTGAGCAAATGAATGAACCAAGGACGAGAAAGCATCACCCTCAGTGGGAGGGACTCTCCTGCTGATTTGCACATCTGAACTATGATGATTTTGCCAGTCACAAATGTGTATTTAGGTCAGTCTTGTCACCTTGAATCCCATATCCTAATCTGGCTTTGGTGTCATAAGACTTTTTGTCTAATCTCAAAGTGCACACCAACCCAGAGATACAAATTTATAAGAAAACACTTGTGCCCTCGGGCAATGCAGAGTTCTTGCAAAGGTATTGGAGAATTTCCCATGAATTCTGCACATTTTCTGTGGTAAATCTGACCCCTCACTTAACCTTGTGGAAAGACAGACTATGGTGAGGTGACAAAAATGCCATGTATGTTTTGCAAAACACTGTACATATATCATTCAGCAAACGTTAATTGATCTGCTGCAAGGCTAAAGATGAAACTGTTAACAAGAGACTGTCCCTACCAGCAAGGAGCTGAAAGTTGAGTGAAGATCAAAAAAAAAAGGTAAAAAATAAAATAACATTATAGTCACCTTTTTACTCATCTACTTTTTTTGTTTTTCTTTTAGCATTATGGTCTTACAGAATGTTGTAGGTGCTACGTTGTGAGTTAGCCACAGAGCACATGAGGGTGTGCACAGCTTTGGGGGTCAGGGGAACCTTCCTAAAGAAAATGGCTTCTTGGTTAGGAACGGAAAGAGCTATATACATCCTGAATATGTCAGGCTCCCCCCTTCCAGGAGAATTATATTAATAGAGGCTGTCATTCTTCTGTTGTCTTAACGTAATAGTAAAGTACTGCCAGGTACTGCTGACCTGTTGTTTGTCAGATGAAAGTTCACGGCCTTGGCCTGTCTATGTTGAGTCCCGTGTGTTTTACACAAGTTCTTGCTGGGATGGCTGCCGGGAGGAGGTCATATGCTCACTCTCTTGGTACCTTGTATAAACTTGCTTCGGTAGGATTAGATCAATCTTAGAACGTTGATGCTTTGTTTTCCTGCCCTCACCACTGCCAAAGAGGGGAAATGGAACGTGGCATCCCAGGCTATGCACACAGTAAGAACAACAGAACAAGGGATCAATTCTTAATTTGTAATGAGCATGGCTTTCTGACTAAAAACATTTAACAGTTTATTTCA